GTGTTGGGCTGGGTTAAGACCTCCTTTGTCTTGGAGTTGGGTCTTGTGGAAATGCCTCTTTCTGGTCCAGGGAGGTCAACCACAGTCTTGGCATGTGTTGGGGGCATATATGGGCTTAGCCCTCGCCCCGCGGTAGCCCGTCCTGATAGCAGAGGCCACGCTAGCCACAACCCTGGGAAGACGCGGACACTGTTTCCGTGGATAATCAATCCATCGATCTTGGTTCTTCTTCGTGTTTCCCACTCTGTCAAAATGAGGACAGGAAATTCGAACTCCATCAAGGCTTTCACATTTGTGGGCCTGAGGGTCCTTCTGAGCTGGGTCACGGCCTTCCCGTCCAGAAGGAAAGGGCAGTGCGCATCCTCCCTCCCCTCCCTCTCTCCTCCCTGTGTCTTTGTTGCTCAGGCAGCGAGAACGCAGATGGTCCCCTCCTCCTCCCCATGTTCGACACCATCAAGAGGTGAATGAATTCCCAACTGATCTCTGCTCCTCTTCTCTCATCCCCCAACCACAGATCCAAGAGCTGCAGGTCACAGCGGGCCGGCACGGGGATGACCTCAAACTCACCAAGGCCGAGATCTCAGAGCTCAACCGCCTAATCCAGAGGATCCGCTCCGAGATAGGGAACGTGAAGAAGCAGGTGGGTTCCATGAAATGAGTCGGCTAGCAGGGTTTACTGAGCACCAAAGGTATGAGGCTAAATACGGAACAAGGACGGGACACGGTCCCTCCTTAGCGCATTGATAATCCGTGAGGAGAGAATGGCCTGAACCCACATAGAAGGATGAAGTACCCCACCCACTGTGCAGCATGTCCCCTAAGGGCCGTTGGAGTCCCCGATGGCCAGAGCGGAATGAAGACCCCAGTGGGGGTCCCTGCAGGAGGTGGGATGGGGTGGGCGGGAAGGAGAGGGGAAGGGGGCCCGGTGCAGGAGCAGACGGGGGCAGTGGGTCCCAGGCGGACATTGCGTGGCGTGTGTGCAGGGAGCAGAAGCTCCGTGATGGGCGGGGTGGCGGTCAGTAGGACACCCCCCGCTAGGACGGGCTGAGTACGGGCGCCGTCGAAGCCGGGCCGTGGAGTTGAGACTCGATGCAGTGGGTAGAAGCTGCTGTTTGGAGGTTCCCGTCCTGAATCCGTGTGGGAGGAAGGAGACCCCAGCAGTGGAATTTAGAAGAGTGGAGGAGAGAGAGCCTCGCACCCAGGCTTGGCCCAGGGCTCCGCTCCGTGTTTGCCCTCCCCTGTGGCTGTGCTGTGTGGGGTGGCCTGGCACCGAGTGACCCTGTGACCCTGGGTGCGTTATTTGGGCCAAACTCATGTTTCTGAAGCAGGAAAACCGGTGAGTTTCCCAGAGTTTGTGGAGCCTGGCACAAAGGTTCTGCGCTTCCTCGGCAAGTCCAGTGGCCTTCTGGCCCTACAGCCCTGCGCACGCACACACACGCGCACACACACACACACACACACACTCACACATCCTCTCCTCCGGGCACCAGGCTCCTGACAGTGGAAAGAGAAAAGGCCACATCCAATAAGCAGTCACGGTGTTTTTATTTAATCAAGTTCTGCATAAATGAAAGAAAACCACAAGGTGTTTGAGGCTGCCCTCAGGACCTGATTGGACCGTTGGATGAGTTTATTACTAGAAAGTGACTTCGTGATTACGATGCCACCAGGGAGGTCAGGGAAGGTGTCCTTCCTGGGGGGCCAGCGTGTGGGGGGCCACTCTTGGTGCTTGGTCCCCATCACAGCTCCCCTTGGGGCCCGTCGGCCACGATGCTCTCCTGCCTTCTGGCCTTTCCACCCAAAAGCCCATGGTTTCACCTGCAGACCCTTTGGCATTTGATGACCCCAGGATCCATGTGATAATTGTTTAATCTGGGGACACCCAGATTTCATGCCTTCTCCCCTCATGCCACATTCACAAGACCCAGGAGTCTCCCCAGCTCACCCTGCAGGACCTCAGTCCCTGAAAAGGAGCAGAGGACAGTTTGATAGATCTCAGGTCACGGAGTGTATTGCCACCCCCGAACGATTCGACCTCCACCGTCAGGAGGACAGGACACGGTCTGCAGAGGCCGGGCAGCTGGGTCCTAGGCGTCTCTGCTGACCTGTGAGCCACTCCTCCAGAACACTACGGGTGTTTGCATGACTGGGGGCCTGCCCGGCAGAGGCGGTGGCATCGGCTAACAGCAGCCTAGAATTCTCTCTGGTCTCAGGATCAGCTGCTCTCCTTGGGGGTGAAGCAGATTTGACTCCAGGGGAAGGGGACACAGCGGAAAGGAGAAGCCAGATATTCAGATCCCACTAGCACCTGGGCCAGGTGATGGGAAAGCACACCCACGAGTAAAAGACTCAAGAACCCCCGGCAGCTTTCCCGTGGGCGCGGCACAGAGGTGGCTTTGTACTGCAAGTGGCCTTCCCACCTGACCGCAGGTGTCTCCGAGCTGGTGAGACCTGCTGTTAACAAAAGTACCTCTTGAGGGCCTTGCCCCGTAGCATGATCCTCTGTGGAACTTTGGAGGCTACACTCGGCCCGGCAGGTTTACTGGACAGAAATTTTATTAATAGAAGCTTTATTGGTTCCCCCCCCCTCTCTCGCGCGCGCGCGTTCTTTTTTTTTTTTTTTGTTTATGATTTAAGGATTTCCCAAGACAACCTCTACACTGTGGGACAGGATTAAGCCAGTTGCCCCAAGACTGCTCGGTGGGGGGGGGGGTGGCATTAGAATCTTGCAGCCAGTGTTGCCTACCAGGAGGGAGAGGACCGGGGCCACGTACCCAGGAGGCTCACCTTCTCGGTGCCCTCCTCGTCCCTCCCAAGGCGGGGAAGGCCACCACCGTCATGCACCAACCAGTACATGACTGGAGGGGAACTGTGCCTGGAGTGAGGAGGACGGGTTCACCTCTAGGGCTGTCCAAAGGTGGAGAAAGTAGGAGGACCTCAAAGTATCTACTCTCAGGACCAAATAAGAGGAGGTCACCTGAGCAGGATCTCGGAGCTGCGTTCGGACTCAAACGTGCATTTGCCCCTCAGTGCGCCAACCTGGAGACGGCCATCGCCAACGCCGAGCAGCGGGGCGACTGTGCCCTGAAGGACGCCCGGGCCAAGCTGGACGAGCTGGAGGCCGCCCTGCACCAGGCCAAGGAGGAGCTGGCCCGGCTCCTGCGCGAGTACCAGGAGCTCCTGAGCACGAAGCTGGCCCTGGACATGGAGATCGCCACCTACCGCAAGCTGCTGGAGGGAGAGGAGTGCAGGTGGGGGGCACAGCGTGGCAGGGGGGCAGGTCTCCTCTATCTGGAGCGGTTCTCTCTGTGCTTTAGCAGGAAGACTGAAGGCAAACGGTCTGGGACTGTCAGGTCCTACTGGGTAAAGCCTTAGAGGGAATAGGTTTGATACGGTGCAACAGTGAAGACCAAAGTCAGATGGCAGGAAGGACTGAGTTGTAAAAATCCCACGGAGGAGGTGGGAGAGGAAAGATTAACCTCAGCAGCTTCTGGAAAACAGAGCCTCCCTGGCCCTTGGAGTTGCGTGCTTGATGGTGTTGGCGGGGAGGGGCAAGGTGGTTTCCAGGAGACCAGTCGGCCAAGTGGAGCTCATTCTGGCAAAGCCTGGGGCCCGGCCTGCAGGTGAGCTCGTTCCTCTTAATTGCGTGAGACCAGTGGCATAGCAGAGGCCGGCAGGGACACGAGGACCCCACCCAGAAGATGACCCAGGGCCACTCGGATGGATGGAGAGGCGAGCCTTCCCAGCAGGGGGGTGTGGGAGGAGGGGAGGCTGGGGTGCGGTGCCCGGGGCACGTCCTCAGGGGCACACGTCTGCGACGTTGCTTCACGGGGGGGCTTACCTGCTCCTCCTCTCTCTCCCCAGGATGTCTGGTGAACATCCCAGCTCCGTGAGCATCTGTAAGTACCTGCAGGGCCTGGGTCTGCGCTCGGTCTGAGCCTCCGAGGCCATGAGACCAGAGAGGGTTCAGGGGAGACTCAGGGGCACCCGGGGGGAACTGGCTTTAGTTCCCAGGGAGAAGCGGTGATGGAGAAAAATAATATGGTGAAATACAAAAGCACAGCCTACAGGAAGACGGAAGGAACCCCCACGGTGTGTGGTCCAGAAGCCTCTTGTGGGAATGAGGCTTACTGGCCGTGTTGTGTTTCTCTTGGGGCCAGGCCAAAACAAAGGCTGTCGCTCGCAGTGAGGGGGCCTGGGGTGCGGTGGGGTGGGGGCGCCTGAGGCCCTGACGGTGGAAGCAGATGGAAAAGCTAGAGAAGGAGCAGGAGCAGGGAGTGCTGCCCCAGGAGAGGCCGGGCTAGGCCCAAGCCCCTTCCGTGGGGGCAGCGCCCGGGCCTCCCTCAAGGACCTTTGTCCCGCGGGGGAAGTTCACCAAGAGCTCGCGGAGGCTCAAAGCCTGATGCAGGTGGAGGGACGCAGACTCAGGCAAGGGGTCAGGTGCATGTGGCCAAGTACCTGAGAAAGGCCGGGTGCTGCCCGCAACCTCTTAGCACACTGCAAGTACCCACCGGAGGGAATCGGTCCCCACGGGGAGGGGGCGATCGAGGGAGGGGCCCCGATGCCCCGGAAGGCCCGCAGCCCCGTCCTGTCTTCTCCCGCCGTCCCAGCTGTCATCAGCAACACTGGCACGGGGACAGGAGGCGCCGGCTTCAGCGTGGGCTTTGGCGCCTCGAGCAGTTTCAGCTTCAAACCTGCGGCCGTGGACGTCAAGACCAAAGGCGGCTGCGGCAGCGAGTTCAAGGATCCCGGGCCCAAGGGCTCAGGCGGCAGCTGCGCAGCCAGGAAGGCCTCGAGGTGAAGCGCGGGGCAGGCCGCAGCGGCCCTGTGCGTGCAAAGCCGCAGAGCCCAGCTGCGCCCCCGCCCCAGCCCGTCCGGGCCCCCACCCTGCCCGCACCATCCCCCGCCCCGTGGTCCGTGGCGGCGCCCGCTCCGACCCAGGAAGGCCAATCACCTCCTCCGTGGCCCCCTGGGGCAGAGATAACACACCCCCAGGCGTGACCCCTCTGCCCCCCGTCTTTCCTGGGCCTCCGCAGCCAGGGGCGCCCCTTCGGGTCATGTCCACTTCTCCGCTTCTCCTGCAATAAACGACCAGTGCCGCGGGATTCCCGGTGTCCAGTGTGCTTCCCGGATGTCGGCAGCCACGGTGCCCCTCTACACCTTCTCCATCTAATCCTTGCTTCCTCCGGGTCTCTGGCCCGGGCGCGGGTCTCTGCCATCCGGCTCTGGCCTGGTGGGTGCCGGTGAGGGTGGTGGGCAGCTGAGATTTGCTGCTGACCCACCTCTGGGAGGCCCCGTGCTTCCAGTCCGCACAGTGCGAGGCGGGCATCCTCGCGCGGCAGTGAGCGAGGAGCCCGGTCTGCGAGGACGGCCACACGTGGGAGCTTCGGTGTGTCTCCTCCCTTTGGGTCCCCGAAGTGCCCACAGTCCCACGCTATTTCCAGGGCGGTCGGCTGCCCTTTTTCCTTCCCTCCCCACTCTCCTGCCAACCCACCGTCACCCCGCTGCCCCACAAGGGCCCCTGCTCTCTTCTTCCAGCCAATTCTTTTCCACCCCAGAGTTGGAGGCCAACATGCACATATGCTTATGGATGCGTCCGTACCTGCTGCGTGTATACAGTAGGAGCGCAGCGAACCAGTCTTCAGTTGTTCAGACACTGAGAATAGCGGAGAAAACAAACAGGCACAGACTCTGCTCTTTTTTTTTTTTAAGATTTTATTTATTTATTCATGAAAGACACACACACACAGAGAGAGAGGCAGAGACACAGGCAGAGGGAGAAGCAGGCTCCATGCAGGGAGCCCGATGTGGGGCTCGATCCTGGGTCTCCAGGATCACGACCTGAGCCGAAGGCTGATGCTCAACCACTGAGCCCCCCGGGTGCCCCCAGACTCTGTTCTCATAGAACTTACTGTCCGTGGGGAGAATAAAAATAAGCAACTAACAAAGAAATCTAGAACACGTGGTCAAGCCGTTAGTTACTGCCAGGAAGAGAAGTTAGGTGGGGAAGAAGGTGCTCTCTGAGGTGCGTGCGGGTTTCCGCAAGCGTGTTTGTGTTCCCCAGAAACCGTTTGCACAGTTGGCTTGAGCAAGGTGCTAAAGAGGAGCATCCTCAGGGGTGAGACCACCTTCCAAGGATGAGCCTCATTCGAGGGGGGCATTCGAGGCGCCGTGACCCTCCCTCCTCCGCTGCGTCCCTAGTCTACTCCTCCAGTCTTTCTTCCAGCAGGCCGGGACTTTCACTCCCAAGGACCTATGCAAATAGGATTTTTCACTTACAGGCGCCCATGCCCTGTTTACTAAAAGCCGGCTCACCCTTTGTGGCCTGGCTGAAATGCCACCTCCCATGTTCATGGTTCTTTGGGTCCCTCCAGGTGGACTCCAGCAAAGTCATCGAGCATTAAGGGAGAGGAAGCCTCAGAGCTGGTGGCCTGACAGTTCTCTCCGTCCTCCCATTTTATGGGCCAGCAAGCAGAGGCCTGGATGGTTCAGCGCTCTGCCCGAGCTCACAGCCCCACACTCCCACAGTCCCGGTCCCGAGTCTGCATTATCGTCGGTGCTGTGTTTTCCTGGTGTCATGGCAGTGGCACACACTCCTGTCCGCTCATCCCACCCCGCCCCCTCAATCCCCTGTTCCAGGATCCCCAGTCTGGCTCACTGCACTCAGTATGCATTTGCTGCAAGAATGCGTGGCTTAGTCCAGCCCATGGCTGGGAAGAAGGAGCTTGGGGTGTATACCTGTGACCCGATGGCTTACGAGTGACGAAACACATTTGTGTTAATAAATTTGAGCTTTATATACATCCGTGTGTAAGCAGTTTCTATAATTTATCAACCAAACCGGAATGCCGGTTCTGGGCACATGCCAAACTGGATCCTCAGATGACAGGCAAAAGCCAGGACTGTCTCAGGCAAATGGCCCGCCTGCTAGCGGGCTGGCTGAGTGTCACACGCTTGGCCCCCAACCCCGGCTCTTCTAGCGGCTGGCCGTGGCCTAGCGCGAGATCCTGCCCTTGCACAATAGGATCGATGCAAGCTGGTCCAGGCACTGCCCTCAGCACTAAGTCTTCTGCGCCCTTTATGTCTGGCAACTCCGTGAATTCTTCCCACAGTCCGATGGGGAGCGCTGTTAGAAGGTGCAGCTGTAATACTGCAGTCGCCCTAAGGAGACGACGGGGGCTCCGAGGGGTAAAACACACACCTGACGCCCCGCAGGAAAGGATAACCTTGGGGGTGACCCACAGCCCCATGGCCGAGCCCAGCCTCCAGACAGGACCCCTCGTTGCCGACAAGCTTCTCATCGTGGCGGAGGCCTGAGGATATGGAGGGGGTAAAGTCCTGGTGCCCGCGATTCGGTGTGTAGCCGACAGATGTTTGTTAGTGGCCCTGTAATGATCACGGTTAACGTGTGTTCAGGGGCCTTCGTTGCCGGCTGTGTGCTGGTTCGGGACCCGCTGCTTCTCAGCAGGGCTGTGCGCCCGGGGGCCCGCCCGAGAGGGGCTGAGGGTGGGATGGAGGGCCCTGGGTCTTCCCACGGAAACACATTCCCCGCTGTGCTCCTCCACCTGCTTTCTGTGCTCCTCCACCGAGCTTTACTGTTGTCTTCCCTGCCTGAGGAAAGCATCCTAGGACCCTGTTTGGAAAATAAGGACTTTTTATTACTTTATTTATTGCTTTATTTATTACTTTATTACTTTATTTATATTTATTTATATTTATTTATATTTATATTTAATTATATTTATATTTATTTATTTATATTTATGTTTGTTTATATTTATTTATATTTGTTTATTTATATTTATTTTTGTTTATTTATATTTATTTATTTATTTATATTTATTTATTTATATTTATTTATCTTTATTTATGTTTATGTTTATTTATATTTATTTATATTTATATTTATTTATATTTATATTTATTTATATTTATATTTATTTATATTTATTTTTGTTTATTTATATTTATTTGTATTTATTTATTTTTATATTTATTTATTTATTTATTTATTTATTTATTTATTTATTAAAATAAAGATTTTAAAAAAATGCACCGACCACTCTGCCTCTGTGGACTGTCTCCAGCCTGCCATTTAAACTCTGTTGTAGATCCTGACCTTGCGCTGCAGCCTCCAACTGGGTTGCCGACTTCCAGCCCAGCGGCCCCCGCTCAGCGCAGCCTGGCCGGCCCCCACAGCCCGGCCTGGCGCAAGCCAGTTCCTTTGTCTGTCATGTTGCTGTGGTTTCTTCTGACTGCTGGGGACTTCGTACATTTTGCTGGTTTTTGTATACTGACTCCTTGATTTGAAGCCTGAAGTCAAGGGAAGATTCTTGTCGGCAACCAAGTACCTCTCTCCCTTTAGTCCTGATTAGTTTTTTTTTTTTCCTGATTGCAACCCAAAGTTTACATGTCTTCTAGTCCCTATAGCTTATTTGTATTTGTGCCACTGAATGTGTAAATGTTGCATAGATAGACTTTACCATCCCATCGATACTATATATTAAATATATATTTAATATATTCTGTATCCTAAGAGCTGTTCATTTTCTTTTTTGTTTCAAAAATCTTGAAGGGGCAGCCTGGGTGGCTTAGTAGTTTAGTGCCTGCTTTCAGCCCCGGGTGTGATCCTGGGGTCTCGGGATCGAGTCCCCATCGGGCTCCCCGCATGGAGCCTGCTTCTCCCTCTGCCTGTCTGCTTCTCTCTCTGTCTCTCTGTCTCTCTCTCTCTCTCGTCTCTCATTAATAAATAAATAAAATCTTAAAAGAAACCCAAAAATCTTGACATAAAGCCAGCATATATTTAGGCTCAGTATTAATGTTGAAATTTAAATGTGCACAATAAAACATGAAAACTTAAAAAAAAAAAAAAAGGAAACCTGTTTCCAGGCAGTCCCCCCCAGGCTCATCTCCCAGCAGGAGAGCAACCTCGGCCCGTACCCCGCGCACGCAGTGCCCTCTGCCAGCCGCCCCGGGTGCTGCAGCTCCACCGCCGGGCGCTGGAGGCGACACCTGCCTGCGGTGTGGAGGGCTTGGGATGATCTGGGACAGGCCTGTGCCCCCCCCCCCCCGCCAGGCTGCCAGCTGGAGGAGATGCTGCGGCGCTCCCTAGCGTGCCCAGGCTGGCCGCAGCCACTGCGCAGCCCGGGCCCTGGCTCCTCTCTGGCCTTTCCCCTCACAGGGGTGGGGGACGTGCTGCTGCCACTGCCCGAACCTCTATTCAGAGATCTGAGGGTCTTTGCTCTTCTTCAGCGGGCACCTGAGAATCTTGGTGCTGATACAGAGGCCCGGGGGTGAGGCCCCCATCCCTCAGCAATACCCTCCCCAACAACACCTGCACTGTGTGCAAATCCCTGTCCTGCTGCAAGGGGGCTCCCTCTGAGATCTCTCTCTCTCTCTCTCTCTCTCTCTCTCTCTCTGTCTCGTAGGTAATATAGGCATGGAGGCACTGGCAAGGCACAGCCACGCAGTAATAGGAAGGAAGAGATTGCAGCCAAACAGACAATCTGGGAAGGCTTCCTAGAGGGGGTGAAAGGGCCTGAACTGTTAGAGACAGGGAGCATCTTAAAGACCTTCTACATCACATTTGGCAGCTGCTCTGAGATCTCGGCTGCCCTTTGCTGGCTGCCTCCAGTCTTTCTTCCCAGCCCTCATCACTTCTATCAACGTCAGGACAATCACTTTGCTTTCGGCACCGTCCTTCAGTTGTAAACGTTCACATTCGGCACATGCTGCTGGAACCACCAGAGACAGCGAGAGCCTCTCCTCTCCTGTAAACCGCTTTCCTTGGCCTTGCCTATCCCTGCCCCCCCTGGCATGCATCCACACCACGGCCCTGCAGAGACTTGGTCCCTCCTAGAGGCTTATGGCTGGGATCCTTCCTTCTTGCTTCCAATCCACCCACCCATCCACCCACCCATTCACCCAACCACTCACCCATCCACCTACCCACCCATCCACCCAATCACCCACCCATCCACACATACCCACCCATCCACCCATCCCCCCAACCACCCGTCCACCCAACCACCCAACCACCCACCCATCCACCCATCCACCCACCCACTGACCCACCCGCCCAACCACCCACCCATCCATCCACCCAGCCACCCATCCATCCATCCATCCATCCATCCATCCATCCATCCATCTCTAGGAGGATGATCTGGGACAGGTCTGTGCCCACCCCAGGGCTGCCAGCTGGAGGAGATGCTTTCCAGGGGTCTAAAACCTTCTTGCTGAAACTCCAGGTACAGCACCAAGTTCCAGATTCAAGGACCCGGGTAGAGGGGACCTTCATGCAAGAGGTCGCCCTGTGTGTAAGGACACAGTTTACAGCTTCCCACTTGAGAATTTGTTTCTTTTGCCAGTTCTCACTGTAACGTGGGCAACTCAGCCTCCCTGCTCCTTCGTCTTGTCGTTCATAAAGCGGGAAAAATAAAAGCATTTACTTCGCAGGAGAAGCGTGAGAATGAAGTGAGAATGTACCAAGCAAGCCCTCAACAAGCGAGCACTCCAGGTCCACACCCGAGGCAAGGCTGCCAGGCCAGCTTCCCGCCGGATTCCAATCCCAGGCCAGCAGTTCTTCCCCATCTCAGGCCCCTCAGCCCTCCTAGCGAGCATCTGTATCTAGAAGGTTCTCTCCCATGGCTGCCGGTCCCTCTCAACCCCCTCCTTGGCTCTTGGTTATGACACGCGGCCTCCCCCCTCGCTCCATGCGGCCCCGTGTTCCTTCCCCCTAACTGGGAGGCAGCGTGCCCCGGTCTCCCGTGTTTCCTGGCTCCCGCTTCCAGACTGCTGGTGCCCTGGCGTGGGCCCCCGTCCCCCTCTCTCCGAGCCACGGGCTTATTTCCTAAGCAGGCTCGTGAACATGCAGCTGCGTGTCACACCTGGTAGCCTGGCCGGAGAGTCTCACGTGCCTCCGTGGGGGCCTGGGACACTAGAGAGACGGGGACTTGGCCCCCAGACCTCCTGCCCTAGGAGAGAAGGCTGACCGAATCTTACAAAGGGGCCCCACTTGGGCCTCAGCTGTGCCTAGAGCTCTGACCCCAACCGCAGGGCCGGATGTCACCTAAGCCCCACGGGCCTAAGCCTCTGTCCCTGGCAGGCTGGCGACCTGGGGAGCGGTGCTCAGAGCCCCTCAGCCCGGCAGCCAGCAGGGGACTCGCCCCCTCTACCCGGGCTGGGGCTGGATGGAAATGCCCCTCCTGGAACAGCGGAGGGCTCAGTTCAAGCCCTGCCTTCCGCCTCGGGCTCTGGGACCCTTCCTGCACACGGTCTGTGCCTCAGGACCCCCCTTCCCAGTCCTCCCCACTGACCCAATCTCTTCCAGCTTCCTTTTCCCAAAACACCTGCTTCTTATTTCTCGTATTTCTTTCTGGACGTCCCACTTTGACACTCTTCCTCCCACTTCCCACCTCGGGTGTGGTCACCTGGGCCCCTCAGTGCTTTGGTCTTGCCGGGGTTCTTCTCCCCTCCTCCTGTCCCTTTCCCAACTCCTTCCCCCAGGACCCCGCAGGCTCAGCTATGATGTGGGCACGAGGGGGATGGCCATTCCCCCCCCACCTGAGGCAGGTGCCCCCTCCAGGCCCAGCCCACCACTCCAGATGGGGGGGGAGGGGCTTCCCCCGCCCTGTTTGGATAGGGCCTTGCCGAGCTCTCTCCGATGGGAGATAGAGAGCATGTCATTAGTGATGACTGGCTTAATTACAGCCCACTGCACAGCCGGCTTGTTTGCTTTGGAAATGGGCACAGGAAGAGGCGGATCAAGCACCCAACTTCACAGTCACGATCAAAAAGGTTAAGGCATTTCATTTCCCCCAGCTTCTCCATTGTCTTTCGGAAAAAAAGAAAAAAAGAAAAAGAAAAATCAAGGAATGGGGGGACGGGCAGGAAATACTTTCCAAGCTTCTTCCAGGGGGAGCTGGAGTGGAGGGTCTGGGGCAAGGAGAAGGACGAAGTAGTACAGGAACAGGGGCCTGGGGTGTTTTGAGACAAGCAAATGGAGGAAAATGTGTCCTTCCCAGAGCAAGACTGCGCTTGTCTGCACATACCTCTGTGCACTGGAGCTGAGAGGAAAGTTGCCGGGATGACTAGGTAGGCGGTGGGGTGGAGTTGTCGAGTTCAGAGCTTTTCTTTTTAAAAAGGGCAGGGGTGGGGGTGGGGGAAGAGCTCCGGAGCCCTTGACGGGCACTAAAGGGCTGGGGGAGGCGGTCTCCCAGCCACAGAAGCCTTAGGGGCCAGAGCGAAGGGAGAAAGCAGCAACAAGATTGGAGAGCTCAGGGGACAGGGTCCCCCGGGATGGGCTGGAGGCAAAAGGATCCCCAGGCTGTGAGAGTCGCCAACCAGTCTGCGGGTCCCTAAGTCAGAGGGAAGCAGGGCAGGACAGAGTTCCAAGGGCCAGAGCCCAGAGCGGCCAGCGGCGGGAGCTGAGGGACCACCGCCCTGTCCCTTGGGCTCAGAGAGGAAGAGACCCAGGGTCTGGGAGACAGAGCTCAGCCGGCCCTGGAGACCAAAGGGAGAGCTCGTGGGAAAGCCGGGACACTCCGATGGCCTCCCCTTGGGAGGAGGGGGAGTCTGGCTCCAACTCACCTGGAGAGCGAGCCCATCCTGCAGATTCAGGCTGCCCGGAGGGCCGTGAGGGTGGTGCCCAGGCCGAGGGCCTGGCGAGGGGGCAAGTGGGGCAGGTGGGGCAAGTGGAATCCAGCTGTGCACCTGGGCGGAGGGCTGCACCTGCCCCGCGGGAGGGGTGCTGGCCCACAGCCACCTGGTTCAGCTGCTCTGATGCTTTTCTCTCGAGCCCCTGCTGAGCTACATGCTGGAGGAGTGGACAAGGGGCGACCCTCGACTCAGAGAGGGCTGCTTGCGGAGGCACACCGAGGAGTGTCTCTAGAAAGTTGTATGAGGGGCCCCCGGGGGGCTCGGCGGTTGAGCACCTGCCTTCGGCCCAGGGCGTGATCCCGAGGTCCCAGGATCGAGTCCTGCATGGAGCCTGCTTCTCCCTCTGCCTGTCTCTCTCTCTCTTTCTCTGTGTCTCTCATGAATAAATAAATAAAATCTTTTTTAAACTAAAACTTTAAAAAAAGTGCTATGAGACTAGCAGCGATAAGAGAACCACCATCGAGTCGCAGGTCATGGAACATCCTCTGTCGAGTTTCAGTGAACAGAGGCTGACACCCGATGTCACGCTCACTAACGTGGCACCAAGAAATGGGAGTTTTGACCCCAGCGACGGCCTGTCCGGGGTTGCGCTCTGCGCGGCTCCCTGTAACAGAGCAAGCGTTTAATAAGTGAGTGCGGAATAGAAGTTAAATTGGTGTCGTCCGGCTGCCTGTGTTCTTACTAATCTGGGGGAATTCATGCCAACACTTGTGGGGGGCGGGGAGGGGGCCTCGAAGAGATGAGAGACACCAGAGAATTCTTGGGGATTGATGTTTTTACAGACTGGGGGAGGTGTAACGTCAGTGACCCCTACCAACGACCGGAGAGCTCGCTGCCCTGTGCTGTGCGACATGGAGGGTGTCAGGGCGATCACCTGTCCAGGGGTTCCAGAACTGTCCAGGTGGTAGCACCAAAGGAAACCCTCTCGGTCCCAGGCAAACGGGATAGTTGGTCTCCCTGCAAAATGGTCCTCAGCTACTCCCAGTCATCCTGTCCGGGGTGCTCTCCCTCATGTTCTGTGCCCCGTTCTTACTGCCATGGAACTTTCTGCCTCACTCCGTCCACATCACCTGCCCCCTGCCCCCAGTCCTGCGTCTAGAGCCCCAGATTGCCGCAGCGGGCCGTGTACCCGCCCTGGCAGGGGCATGTCCCATTTGCTGTCGGACTCGATACTCCAGGACGCAGAGCATGGGGTGCCAGGGAGGGGAAGGGTTCCGGGAGGGGGTGTGGTGAGCATGGGACAAAAGCGGATGAACCTCATTGTTTGAGCTAGCTGAACTGGGATGAGGACAGAAAAACAGCCTCCTTTCTAACTGGTTCAGACAGGTCGAGAGTCCCCGAGCTCACTTTCGAAGGGAAAATCAGAGAATTCAGTTTCGAGTCCTTCTCGTTTCTAAGATGCTGCGGTTTGTCCCCCAAGTCACCCCAACGGTAGCTCACGGATCCCTCAAGTGTCTTCTTCTCTCTGTTAAGGACCTTTATCTACAGGATGCCGCCTCCGTGGACTGTGCCGAGAGGTCATCGGAAGGCCAACGGCCTAGAGAAAGACGGCCTTCAGCAGCCATCCAGAAATCAAGCTCACATCACTTTGGTTATGTCCATCTGGGATTATTCCAGGCCCTGCTTTTGATTTACTGCCCGGTGTGGTGTGCCCTGCAGAATGGGCCTCTCGCCCTCCCCGAGTATCCGTAGCCAAGAATGCAAGAGGCTGTGGTGCTCACGGGCTCAGCTCCCTTGGCGCTTCCTGGGGGACCCGTCTCCCTGACAGTTCTCGTGCAACACAGAGCCTGGTCATTCACCCAGACTGTGAAGTTTCTCCCCTTTAGCCTCACATGATTCCGCACTGTCTACGCCGAGAAGGGAGGTGTCTCAGCCTGCTCCCCCAACTTTGTCTCATGCCCCTGTGCTCCCTGGCCCACACTCCTGGCTCCTGACGCCCACCCCCCCCCCCCACCTCAGAAAGCCCCATGTACTTTATTCTGCTTCCCTGGGGAATTCTATCAAACGTTTAAAGAAGAAACCATACCTATTCTACTAAAGCTGTTTGGAAAGATAGAAAGAGATGGAGTACTTCCAAACTCGTTCTATGAGGCCTGCATTACCCTAATTCCAAAACCAGACAAAGACCCCACCAAAAAGGAGAATTATAGACCAATATCCCTGATGAACACGGATGCAAAAATTCTCAACAAGATACTAGCCAATAGGATCCAACAACACATTAAGAAAATTATTCACCATGACCAAGTAGGATTTATCCCCGGGACACAAGGCTGGTTCAACACTCGTAAAACAGTCAATGTGATTCATCATATCAGCAAGAGAAAAACCAAGATCCATATGATCCTCTCAATAGATGCAGAGAAAGCATTTGACAAAATGCAGCATCCATTCCTGATCAAAACTCTTCAGAGTGTAGGGATAGAGGGAACTTTCCTCAACATCTTAAAAGCCATCTACTAAAAGCCCACAGCAAATATCATTCTCAATGGGGAAGCACTGGGAGCCTTTCCCCTAAGATCAGGAACAAGACAGGGATGTCCACTCTCACCACTGCTATTCAACATAGTATTGGAAGTCCGAGCCTCAGCAATCAGACAACAAAAAGACATTAAAGGCATTCAAATTGGCAAAGAAGTCAAACTCTCCCTCTTCGCCGATGACAGGATACTCTACATAGAAAACCCAAAAGCCTCCACCCCAAGATTGCTAGAACTCATACAGCAATTTGGCAGTGTGGCAGGATATTCTGATTTTTTCTTTGATATTCTGATTTTTTAAAAAGATTTTATTTATTTATTTTAGAACGAGAGAAAGAGCACAAGCAGGGGGAGAGGGAGAAGCAACTCCCCGTTGAGCAAGGAAGCCTGACATGGGGCTCGATCCCAGGACCCCAGGATCATGATCTGAGCCGAAGGTAGACGCTTAGCTGATTGAGCCACCCAGGTGCCCCTCTGATTTTTTTTAAAAAAATCAGAATTCCAGTAACTGCTTGTCTGAGTCACTCATGATCCAATGCAAGCATGTGGCGTGAAAACAAGTGCAACAACAAAACAACTTTCACATGCTTATACCTTGTCTCCTCTGCTCCAATGGCAGTTTCTTAGAGGATGAGGAGAGTGTCTTGGGCGCTTCTCTCTCACTGTCCGGCACAGAGCAGTACACACAGTAGGTGCTCAATTTTATAGCTATTGAATGACCGGTCTCTTCAGGCCTTGGGACACCCATTAGTCTAATGAACCCAAAGACTAGGGTGTGGGGTGAGCGTGGTGACTGATTAGAAGGTAGCCAACTCAGCGAAGGTTGGGACAGCTGGAGGTCCCACGGGGTAGGCAGAGGCAATCCTCTAACATCAGCTAGGAGGGGCACCTGTGCGTGGGCCGCGATGATGGCACCTGCCAGGAAATCCCCCTCTGCCTCCTCCTCTTCCTCCTGTGTCACACCCACCATCACAATGCCATCGTCGCCATCACTGCCCCTCTTACAACCCAGTCCCCAGCACGAAAAGTCTGCTTTTTTCTTGGCTTCTAGCTGTCATCCTATCACGTACCGTGCTGGTTAGGAACATGACCTTGAAACCAGATGCCCTCGAATTCCAGTCCCAGCTCCGATGTACTGGCTGAGTGAGCCTGGGCAAGTTCTTTCACATCTCTAAGCCTCCGGTTCTTCACCTGTCAAGCGCACAAACATCAGGGCTAAAACAGAAATCCTCCTAGTCCTCAGCACAATGCCCGGCACATGCCATGTGAACAACTGATGGGAACTCTTCTTGCTGTCACTGTCACTATTACTCCGGTGGGTGCTCTCGCTGCCACCATCACTGCTACTCCGAGTAGTAAGTGCATCAGTCCCCACTGCCTGGAGCAGGTGCTCTGAAGCAGCCCTTGCCATGAGCGCTGGTGGGGGTACAAGCCCAGGTTCTGGGGGGTCCTCAAAACCCCAATCAAAATGAGCCTGTTTCCCCAGCCTATCCCCCAAAACCGTCATTCACAACACTCTTCCGTCAGTCTGGGGCTTTGGCCCCAGATTAAGTTCTTTATGTAGATTCCTCTCGCTGGTGCACAGCCTCCTTGGTGGCTGCGGCCATATGTTGGTCAAGGGACTTACCCCATTTATTGCCATTCACACACTAGCACTTGCAGCCTGGCTGGGAAAACCATAAGAAACCACTTACGTGATGCCCTCCCGCGCCCTCGCTGGGGCTAGGCGCTGCCAGGGAGCTGAGGAGACAGGGTCCCTAGGAGGAGCTCCCGCTGCTGCCTGCCGGGCTTTGGGGAGAACACCACGTGGGGGGAAGACCCTCTGTGGAGCATTCCAGGCTCCCTCCCACTGGCCCCCTCCTCATCTCCACCCTCCCTTCCCAGCAGCGGGAGCTCTGGTCTACTACTCTCTGGCTGATGCAAATGGGGGGACGCTGCCCAGCTTACTTATAGGAAGTGGTCGGAGTCCACCAGATGGACTAGGGTAGCCACCAGATGCTTGTTTTTGAAGGAATTTTGGGGCATTTCACCCTGCCAGGACTACCTCAGCTGATAAAGGGCTGCTCTCTCCTGTCCCCGAATTGAGTGGCTTCCCGAGGTGACCTGGAAGCTGGCAAACCAGCCCACCCTGCACCCAGGAACGAAACGCAGGGACTCCCGTGGCTTGGGCCCTGGGCATGGAAGGCTTCCCTCAGGGAGCACAAGGCCTGGGGAGACGTTCTCCCCGAGGAGAGAAGAACTAGTGTCTGAGCGCCTATTTGGGGCAGACAACGAGGCCTGGGAGCAAAAACACGGCTGCAGGAACTGCCAGCTGCCTGGAAAGGCACCGTCAAGGTCACCACCACCCAGGCCTTGTCCATGGAAAGGCCCGATAATACCTACGCTGAGGGCCATGCAGACGCCGTGGGGTCATTTCCACTACCGTCCTGGGGTCCGTTCCATTGCTGGACAGCTGGGGTCTTTAGAGACCCAAAGAGGGACCCCTGAGAACTCTGTCTTGGATCTAGATCTTTGAA